GAGGAGGCTGTTAGGGCAAAGGGCTCCCAATTCAATTTGTTAAGGCGATACCACCGCGTAGAGGCAGACCGGGATGCCTCTACTTCGCCCAATTGGACCACCTGAGCCTGGAGCAGCTGAACTCATTATACCATGTCGACGAACTCCTCTTTATGAGAGGAGTAGTCATCGAAGCCTGGCAGAAAAGGACAGGACCGACACAACACCATCATTGCCAGGCTTTCGGGCACGCTTCTGTCAACTGCTTCAGGCCAGTGAAGTGTGTTCGCTGTGCCGGGGAGCACATTGCCGCCCTTTGCCCTCGGGGTAGAGAGAAAGAGCCGACGTGCGCAAATTGCGCACAAACCCATACTGCGAACGATCGACGCTGTCCAGTACTTAGGAGGGTTGCCAGGAGGCAGGGGATTACCCTGCCGGGACTATTACCGGAGGACCCGAAGAAGATCACCCAGAGTCGCCCAAGAGCAGTAACAGTTCAGGAAGACGGGTGGACCACCTTGACAGGAAAGGGTAGACAATCAGCCCCCCCCCCCCACAATACCAATGGAAACGGTGGAACCTACCGAAGTGAAGGCAACCACCGGGGCGACTCTACAGCCCCCCGCTAATGACGCAATAGAACGTCAGTCCTCCAAGAAAAGGAAGCGGGTGAGGAGAAGGAAAAACAAGGAGCAGCCTCTACGTCCTAAGGCTGTGACCTCGACCCTGACACCGCAAGTAACAACAGCCGCAAAGGCGCAGGTTACTAGGAGAAAAACCAGCGAGGGTAGAGCGCCGGAAAGGGCTCTACCGGAACGTAGAGCCAGCTCTACACATAGAGCGCGCTCTACCCAACGAATCGAATTAAATGTGAAACCCAACGTCCCGAGGCCAGTACCAAGAACAAGATTAACAGTTCCAGCACCATCAGTCGACTTCGAGACAGCTAATGCCATCCAAAGACTGGTAGGCATAGCTATCGAGGTCGGCACGCAAGTCCTGGCAGACATAAGAGCCGGGGCTGACCCCATTACCGCCGTGATGAAGGCACTCGCAACCTTACTGGCCCGGCATTACGGAGAAGAGTAACAGTAACCTGCGCCTCCTCTACTGGAACACGGATGGGATACAGCAGAAGATGCAAGAACTCCGCACAGTCGCTCAACAACAGGACTTTCAAGTGATCTTGCTGGGGGAGACGAAACTCAGACCATCAACGCATTTGAAGCTGCCGAACTACCACATCTACAGAAGGGACGAGGTCAATCCTCATGGGTCCGCCTATAGAGGCACGGCGGTCCTAGTGAGGAGAGACATCGTCCAGCAAGAGCTAGAGACATACCAGATTACAGATCGATGCGCTCCATCGGCATAAAAATGGAGGCAGCGGGCGAGGAACTAAAGATTTAAGCAGCATACCGCCCGCCAGGGACTCCATTTCACTCCTCAGATGTCCGGACGGTAATGGAAGACACAACGTCCACCATCATCGCCGGGGACTAAACGCCAAACACCCGGCGTGGGGGTCAAGATTGATCAACCCGCCGGGTCGTGCACTATACGAAGATGCGGAGGAAAACAATTACGACGTTTTAGGTCCCGAGGAAACATCACACGTCCCTACAGACACACGAAGAAGTCCGGACGTACTGGACATCGTGCTCTCTAGGAACGTCAACTACCCGATAGTGGTAGAGGTACTGTACGACATGGATACGCAGCACCTGCCGATACTAATTACCCTTGGCCTCTGGGCAGTGACTACGCCGCCCAGAGCATTCAAGACTAGAATAGACTGGAGGCTCTACAATCAACACCTACAGGAGATACCTCCAGTCTTCACACCAATCAACACAGCGGACGATGTAGAGGCCGCTGCGACAAGAATAACCAACACCATCAAAGAAACCCTCGACGCGGCCTCTACGGTTGCCTCGATAACAACCAGAAGGGACGTCCTGCCGCGTAATATATGCGAGCATATTAAACGCAAGAGGGCGCTGAGGAAGCTCTGGGCGAGCACTCGCTGTCCAAGACTGAAGACCCAGCTAAATAACGGATTTCAGATGAACTGTCGGTTGCAATCCAGGCCCACAGAGGAGAGGCCTGGGAGCGGCGCATAGTGAAGGCAGACGAGCAAGATGCGTCGCTCTACAAATTGAACCGGCAGTTGACCAAAAAACGTCCTGCCGTATGCCCGCTGACCAACAGCGCGGGCGAACGTCGATATGATGCCAAAGGTAGAGCGGATATCCTAGTAGAGTACTTCGAGGAGCAATTTATGCCGAACCCAGCAAGTGCGGAGTTCTTGGATCTTCATGCCCGGAAGGAGAGCCGCGTACAGGAGTTCCTGTCATCGCCCGCGCCACCGCTTGCAGGAGAGTGGTACGTCTCCCCCGCTGAACTGTGGAGGACAGTAGCCCGCCTGCAACCCAGGAAGGCGCAGGGGCACGACGGGATCACCAACGCTGTGCTTCGACAGCTGCCCAATAGGACATTAGTAAGATCGGACGACTCTACAATGGAATATTGCGGACATCCCACTTCCCGGAGGATTGGAAGATAGGGAAGGTAATTGTGTTACCGAAGCCCGGGAAGGACAGGCGTAGGGCTGCCAGCTACAGGCCGATTACACTACTACCGCACATAGCTAAACTGCTAGAAAGACTGATGCTAAGACGCCTCCGCCCGTGCATTCAACTTCGGGCGGAACAGCACGGATTCAGGAGGGATCACTCAATAGCAACATAGCTGACCAGGGTGCTGCACTACCTTGCGGCTGAGCACAACTTCGGCCGCATATCGTTGGGCGTCCTTCTCGATATAGAGAAGGCGTTCGACAGAGTGTGGCACTCTGGATTACTCTACAAATTAGAAGATCAAACCAGTATCCCTCCTGCTATGTTGCGGCTAGTGGCGTCATTCCTGGCTGACAGGAAGTTCTACGTCTGTGTAGAGGACGCCATGTCCGCAATGAAGACCGTCAGAGCCGGCGTACCACAGGGCAGCTGTCTGTCACCAGTCCTGTACGCGGCTTACACCAACGATATCCCAACACTGGAAGGACACCTGCGCGAGTGGGAGGACGACGTTGAACTGGCGCTATACGCGGACGATAGCGCCTACTTCACCTCGTCCAGAAGAACCCACATCGCAGTTGCCAGGATGCAAAGGCTGTTGGACTTGCTGCCAGCATGGCTGGATGAGTGGAGGATGGCTGTCAATGTTGGTAAGACGGCCGCTCTGCTCACTTGCCGCTTCAGAAAACCACCACCGCCACTAACACTTAGAGGCCAAGAGATTGCATACGAGAAGGCCGTGACGTATCTTGGATGCCAGATCGACAGAATGCTGCGCATGACCGCGCACGTCGATCTCGTCATCCGCAACGCGAGAGGTGCGCGGGCGGCGCTGCGTCCCGTACTGGCACCCAAGCTACCTATCAAGACAAAACTGAAAATCTATAAATTATAAATTCGACCCGTAATAACCTACGCTGCTCCGGCCTGGTATGCGCCCCTGAGCGATCGGCAGAAGCAGCGACTGCAGGCCCAACAGAACCTAACATTAAGGACCATTGTCGGTGCTGGTCGCTGCGTCCGGAACGACGTGATAGCGGCCAACCTGAAAATTGAAACCATTGAAGAATTTGTGGTCCGGTTGTCGCGCGGCATGTTTAACCGCGCTGACAACGGGCCACACCCCCACCTAAATAGCTTTGCGCTGCTACACGCCCGCCCCCCGGACGGCGACCATTACCAAGAGAACTCCTCCCTACATAGATTAGGGAGTCGAGTAAAACCCACAATGCCACAGATAGGCCAACTTAGATGCCTAGGCCGAATTAGCCGCCTACGAACGACTTATCCGACCAGGCCAACCGAGATTACCATAGGCCAAATTAGATGCCTCTTTCAGGACCATAGGCCGGATTAGGCGCCTTTTTCAGGACCATAGGCCAAATTATACACCTTTTTCAGGCTTTTTCAGAAACCAACATACAGCGACCGGGGAATCGAACCCGAACCCGTGTCGCTGTATATATAAGATAAAATGCCATGAATGGCACCCAAGACCGGCCCATAGTCATGGGGCGTGATGAATACACAGGTAATGGGGAATGCCCCATGGCCTGTTCCTGGAGTGCGAATAGCACACAGAAGAAGACAACGGATCAATGCAAATCGTTCGGGACCAGCTACTAGTAATATATATACATATATATAATCAAGAAAGAAAAACATATAGGGAAGTGATAGGGAAAGTAATTACTCTCTCACGGAGCGGTTTGAAGATAATTGCTGTTTTATTCCCAAGGGATTCTTCACCTTTAAATATTAATACAGTCCACCTTGTGCTAACGTAGCACATATTGAAGAATTAAAGCGCTGGGACCGGGACGACCACGGAAACCCGTAATCCCCGTCTGAACCTTTTTTAAGAAAAGGAAGCGGCAGACACTCTCGTGTGTTACTCCTTCACGGGGTTCACATACGCCTCGTTGACCTCCCGAACCCAACGTAGGTGTCATAGGAGATTCGGGATCAAGGAATCTGCTGTTGGACGCGACCCGATCCTTTTCAATATATTTTTAGGTTATCGATGCGTTCAAGCATTCTGAATTATTCAAAATTTTAAATATTTTAGACCAGATGCAAGATTTAGTTGATATTGATTTCGTGGGTTTCTAGTGTTCGCAAGTACCCAATAATCAATTATGAGTTTATTGACATCGATGTTTCGATGTTTGACTTGTGGCAACATCGATGTTAATTTTCATTTTTGACATTGATGATCATCGATCATCCCTAGTGCTAATGTCAAAAACAAGGAACATACTAATACTACTCTAGCAATACCAAAACAATTTTCAATTTTCAATTTTCAATTTTACAAAGACAGTATTACAGAGATGTATTTTGTATTTTCAATTGAATCCAATTGCTTTTATATTAATTATTAACTACTGTACTGCTGTACTGCCTCTACGAGTCATTATCATTTAGTAATAGCATAGTAAAATGGTTTTTAAATGTCAAGATGATAGTTTTATCAAAGAGGTATTACTAAAATATTTTAGTAATAAGTTATATTCAGTCAAAGATTTAATCTGTGTAATAATAGTAAATTACCACACTATTTGTTATATAAACCAGAACTAGCCAGAAATAATTTATTTCATGAATGAGTTGAGATGAGTCATTACTCACCATGCAACAACACTTCCTTTTTATTTGTTCTATTGCTAATTTCTAAGTTTAGCTCTGAGGATTCCAGTTAAGCATATTTGTATAACTCAACCGCTAGGTTCAGGCTATAATACACTATAATATGTATATAAAATATAGTATATATTAGGTATATTGCATAACAATATTGGTCAGCATTTAACATAACCACGTTTACACAATGCTACAGTATATAGTATTGGATTGCTTGCTTATAATGTGCTATGCATATAGCAGATTGAGCATAGCCTAAACTAAACTAGTCCGAGCAGAGTAATTGCATGCAGATGAAGTTGACATGTAAACTAAAAGATCTTATATACCATATTGTATTACAGATTTTTTTTTTATTGTATACATAGAATAGAATAGAATAATTTTTTATTCAATATAGATCACATGTGTAATTCTTATTGAAAGTAATTTTTTACTTTACCACTGGTTTAAAAAAAAAAACCTCTGCCCTGGGAAGATCCAGCAAGAAACCCAGCGGATTTTTTTAAATAATATGTATATGTAAAGCAATAGGTTTTTTATAAATTGAGATTGCAATCAAGAATGATAAGTTAATTGTAAGACATGGTTGAATTAAGAAAATATTGATACCTACATGATATATGGTCAATAATAATTAGTAAAACTTACCTATGTAACCATGGTTTTTTAAATTTATTATGGTAGAGACTAAATCTAAACTTCATAGCTTTACATGGTAGAGCCATGCTACAGCTATATTAGTAGTATACTTGTTGGGCCAGCTCGACCGGGGAAGGACCATGCTCTCACAGAATACCAGCGTAAAATGGCAGCTTAACGCTGCTGTGTTTTGTATGGTGAGTGTAGATAACCAGAAACACTTTTTACTGGAAATGAGGCGTTCCATCTTAGTCCTAATGGGTAACAGTGCATTTGCATTTTGATTTGTAATGGAGGATAGATGTAGATGTCTATGAGCTGCAGCAACCACTTGCCATCGTGTGGACTGTGTGCTCATTTGTCACCCTTATCCTATAAAAAAAGAAATAGTTGAAAACCACCAAAAACTTACAAAACTCAAGGTATTCTGGTAAGATGATTTGAATAAGAGATCTTCGAACATGACATACCATTGAAGGATCTATCAAAATGCATAAACTATGCTAGAGACTTCACTTAATTTACCTCAATAAACAGCATTTAGAGATTAACCCTATGTTCAATGTTATATGTGTGTTCATGACATTTTCTAGTTTAGTCTCTTTAGCCTGTGGGCCTCGTGGCCTCCACAGGCTAAAGAAGGATCACGAAGTTGCTTATGTTACCACCACACAACAGATTAAAGTAAAAATATGTATTAAAATATTGCTGTACATTCCCTTTTTCCTACCGACTTCAAAATGCCGAAGGTACTCAATTCGACTACATCATAACTTTTTTCTGCGTGAACCGATTTCGATAATACTTTTTTTATTTCAAAGCTGGCGCTTCTCATGTAGTCCCATATAAATTTGGTCAAGGTCTGACCAATAGTTTTTGAGTTATCCTTAATAATATATATTGAAGTTGGTGGTGTAAAATTTTTAATTTTAAATTATTGATCATATTATCATTTCATTTATTCAATGTGTAGTGTTCGCGTAAATATAAGAAATCATCATATTATCATAGTCTTGATTCACTTTTTTATTGACAGTATACATGTAAAGTATTAAAATGTGAGGAGACCAAAGAACCTGTTGTTGATTATGGCAAGGTTTCAAAGTTTGAAGGATATCAAGTAACATTAGAAAATACCATACTCTTTCCAGCTGGGGGTGGACAGGTAAATTAATATTTTTTATCTAATAAATCACTGTTAATATCTTTTGCCATCAGGCTGACAACCTGCTATGACTTTTCTATGGTTAATATATTCACATATTTTGAGATATGCTTGAGTTCATCCTTATTTTATCATCTCATTGTGACTGATACACAGTTCACTTTATGAAAGTTCGCCATGCACCCATTACATCAGCTTTCACATATCATCATTATCATCATCATTCACCACCCTTCACAAGTCCTCTGTTGAACATATGCCTCCCCCAAGGAATACCACAAAGCACGGTCCTGAGCACATATTTGCAATTATTTGGTGTTAGTGCCCTATTGCCATATTTGGCTTTATGATCATGATCATATGGAAAATTTTGCCATGGTTGCCTTGTTTGGCACGTTATGACCTGAGTCTAGGAGAAGTTTGTTGTAAGAATCACTATCATCTCACTTTAAATAAAAAGGCATCTTAAATAATATATATCTGTTAAATAAAATATTTAAAATAACATTTACCATAACATTTAATACAATTATTACATAATACATTGAAAGCTTGGGTTATTCTTTAGTTAAGTATATAGTAGCTTGGGGCTTGACATGCAACTTCAATATCAACAAATGACTCACTGGAATAAGTGGCAATTCAAAGTCTACGGCTCTGTTTATGATATATAAGTGTCATGTTATCCTTCTTTTCATAATATATGTCATATCCTAGTTAATGTGTGTGTCATACAGTCACGCCACATATGCAACAGCAACTATTTGTAAGCTGTTCCACTTTAAAAATTATTTAAAAAAAATATCACAGAATAGCCATGTAACTCAAATAACTCTCAACCAATGGGGGCGTAATCAAAAAGTTCTTGTGTGGCATATTGTATATATGGTAAGCATATGGCGTCCACTACTAGATGGAGTGACAACCTGTTATGAGATGCATGTAGTCAATGGATGCAGGTGGCTCAGGACCATGTTTTGTGACATTCATTGGAGGATGTTTATGTTCAGCAGTGGACATGTAAAGGACTGTATCATCATTATTACAAATGAATAGCAGTCATTATTAGTCGAGCATGAGAGTAATACATGATTATTTAGAAAGTCACAGATGCACCATGACCCCTGAGGATTAAAATGAAATGCCTCACATCCTCTAGATTATACAAGGACTTTTACCTTTCAAACACAGCAGTGGGTGCACTGCTGGGTTTGAGAGGTAAAAAAGCAAACAACCAAGCCCAACCACTTAGTAGTTAACAAGTTAAAACTAAAGCGGGATCAATTTTAGGTTGATCCATTGTCAAAGTATTAATTTATTATCTAATGTATTTGCTTTAGTTTTAAAAGCTTATATTTTTCGTAATTTATTTAGCTTGGCCAATCTTAACTTTAAGCCTCATGACGTCGGCTGGTTGAATGATGTCGAAGTATTGCAAGTGATTCGTAAAGGCGACGAAGCCGTGCATTTTACTAAAGAGCCCATTGCTGTCGGCACAATTGTCACTCAGAGGATTGATTGGGATCGGAGATTCGATCACATGCAGCAGCATTCTGGTGCGTTATTGGTGAGCTAGCCTTAGTTTCGTTTCTTAAGAGTTATAGATAAAATGTGCTCCAGACTGCATTTTGGTCACGGCGACCAGTATCAACGACACTAGCCATTTGCACATTACATTATTATAGCACACGATTGTATGGTACACTCTTATAATCCGTATGGACGGCAATCCGACACAACAAAAGAGATATCAATCGCAAGTTAGCAGCACGAACGGCTTTACATGCTTTCCTGTGCTTTCCGAGGCACGGGGGAGAAACACCGTCAAGTCCGGTCCGGTGATTTTTTGGTTCGTCCCGGGATTCAAACCCAGTACAGTCTACGACTACTAGACGAACGAGGTGGTCAAGTCTCTTTCTTACAAAAGTATTCCCGCAACGAAAGAACCGTTACGGGTAGCATGGGCGTGAGTTTTCGAATAATCGAATTTTAAAAATCAATACAAGATTGATTATTTTTCGTTTGTAAAAAGAAATTACCAAACTTACATGTATTTCTACTATTTAATGATTAGGTTACGGAGACGAATAGCATAAAGAATGGTAAAAAACTTTTTTTAAATATGTGGCGGCGTTGTCGTCGCGCCTTAAGCAAAACGCACCGAAGTCTAAATCGCACTATCAAAGTTCTGAAGTTAATGCGCTATATATAGAACAGCTCTGAAATTACACATGGAGCGTGGGCCGCTCTCCGGGTTGATCACCTTGCCCGGCGGGAGATCGCCCCCTTTCCTTTCCATTTCTACTGCTAAAAACACTTAAGCGAGATTTGAAAACTTATATTCATTTAAAATCTTACTTTGTCTTGACAAAAATTGTGCAATAGACAAAAACGTGCTATGACAGTGTCATTTTAGTTATATAAACAGTGAAAACACTGTTGCTTAGTACTTAACTCGGAGCGGGTACAAATATGGAAATCACAAAAAAAACTATTTAAAAGAATATGTTTGCAGTTCACACGCGATAGAAGTGAAACCTTCAGAAAAGGAGACAGAGAAAGACTATACTGCATTCTATCTCATTCTCTCGCAGGCTAAATCCTATAGATGTATATGTTTGTCTCTTTTTAGTATCGCTTTTTCGTTTCATCGAGTTTCAAATCTGAACGATTCTAAGGAAATTTCACTTCAATAGGGCAGCATCTCCTATCTGCAATATTAGAAAAGGAATACTCATTGCCAACAACGAGTTGGTGGCTCGGAGCTGAAGAAAGTTATGTGGAGTTGGAAACGACGTGTGTAGAAGAATATATCATAAGGAAAGTGGAAGCTCGGTGCAATAGTTTGATACGTGATGCTGTTCCCGTCAAAGTCAAGTTGTGTAAGGCCAATGACCCAGATTTGAACGAGGTAAGGACCAGGTAAAAAATAAATATAATATGTATAAAAACTGTGAGGGGACTTTAAGATTTCGTGCATCGTGATAGGATCTGTTTATGAAATCCTTTTCAGAGAATAAATAAGAATATCACCCAACAAAAACGTGGTAGAGCGTGAAGGACCACGCTCTCATAGAATACCAGCGTAAAATAGCAGCTTAACGCTGCTGTGTTTCGTATGACCCTTTTTACTGGACAAGAGGCCATTCCATCCTAGTCCTCACGGGTGACAACGCATTTGTATTTTGAGTCTTTATTGAGGATAGATGTAGATGTCTATGGGTCTCAGTAACCACTTACCATCAGGTGGACTGTGTGTTCGTTTGTCACTCTATCCTATAAAAAAAATTCAAGCAATTTATTCAAATGTAAGTTACATTTCAATACATATGGCACGGGCGGCTGTCGGGCATTTAATGCGATGTTGCCATATTTTAAAAAGTAGTTAATTATAAGCAAATTATTCTATGTAGTAAAATATAAGTATTTTAAATAATAATGACATTAATAATAATATAATATATTTTTTAGCTCTTCAACATACCCGATAGCGTCCTCATTAGTAACTCTTACTGTTACAGCCTATTAAAGTTCACTGCTGAACATAGGCCTTCCCCATAGATTACCTCATAGGGGATATATTTGCCATAGTTGCCACGCTTGGCAAACGGGTTGGCAATCGCAGTTTTTATTTTTAGTCGTTATTAAGAAGACGCTGCTGCCCATCTCCCGATTTGTCCGTCGCTTCTTACAACACCCACGGGATTTTTTTTATTGGATAGAATGACAAACGAACACACAGTCCACCTGATGGTAAGTGGTTGCTGTGATCCATAGACATCTACATTTATCCTCAATAAAGAATCAAAATGCAGATGCATCGTCACCCGTGAGGACTAAGATGGAATGCCTCTTTTCCAGTAAAATGGGTCTCCGGTTCTCTACACTCACCATACGAAACACAGCTGTGTCAAGCTGCCATTTTACGCTGGTATTCTGTAAGAGCGTGGTCCTTCCCCGGTCGAGCCGACCCATTTGTGCTACAGCTATATTTCTAATATAACCGCAGCATGGCTCTACCACGTAAAAAATGGGATGATATGGGCTAGTGGATATTCTTACACCGGCACTGCACGGCTTAATAACCTCAAAAATACTAAAACTATAAAAACGACACCTTAATGTGTAAATATACAATTTTACTTAATTATTATTATTATGGTATATTTATTTTCATTTTGACGGCTCCGTGACACAGTGGTTTAGCAATGAGTTGCAGCGCTAAGGGTCGCGGGTTCGAATCCCGCACGTAACAATTATTTGTATGGCCTACAAATAATTGTTCCAGGTCTGGATGTTTGTCCTTGTGTAATTTATGTACGTAAACTGCCCCAACAATTCTTAGGCTGCAGTGGATGGGTGAATGGATAGATGGGTCGTTTCGATGAGTGAAGTTGTGTTGTGAAAGTTACTGTGTAATCGTACACCTCCAATTAATCTTCGGATTCATCAGGCACCTGTAAGTAAGGTCAATGGAGTGCCTCTCTGTTTGTGTGTATGGTTATCTCCTACACAATTAATAGCTTACGATTATGTGGTTGTCGGCTAATTTTTTCTAACTTACAGGCACACACAAGAGGTCTGCCAAAGGACTGCATGGACACAATACGGATTATTTGCATTGGGGACATTGACGAGAACATGTGCTGTGGTACCCATGTTTCCAATCTAAGGTTTTTTTAAATTATATATCGTAAATTTAAATATTATTATTTTAATTTTAAATTCTTTTTTTGTACGCATCTTGCAGGAATTAACTATTCTGGCATAAAAACATCTATAATACGGTGCTAGTAAAATTTATGTTTACTACCTACACCAACTACGCTTATAATGAATGCTGCTACAAGTGGTTCAGGACAAATTTTTAAATTTTGCAATTTGATTTTTATTAATCAACAATCACGTTAATAATTTAAAACTAATATAAATAAAATATTTTAATCAATATATTTCCAAAAATGTTTACGAAAAACAATTTTTTTATATAACCAAAATGAAAAACGAATCCACTGTCCACCAGTATGTGGCTAAATCAGGCCATGGACACCTGCAACCAACTTCAGACAAAGTAGGCTACAGATGCATTGTCACCTCGGAAGGCTGAGATTCAATGCCTTACCGTCTGTAATTATGCTGGCTCTCTATATCCTTCACACCGGAACATACCAGTGCAAGCACTACTATTTTCGGCAGAAATAGTTGAGAGGGTGGTACATACCTAGGCGGACTTCTACCGGACCTAGACAGAAAAGAAGTCCTGCCACCTAAAAATATTTGAATACATTGTTTATTTATTTTAGCATCGACTACTGGGCCTTCTGCCCAAAAGTCATCAAACATTACCCATTATCCATTATTTAAATATCATCATTCTCTAAACCATTTCCCATTATCTGGGGTCGGCGCAGTAAATCTTTTTGTTCCATTCCTCTCTATCAGCCGTCATTTCCATACTTACTCCTTTCATTCTCATATCACTCTTCACACAATCGATCCATCTTTTATTCGGCCTTCCTCTGCCCGTGTGTCCCTCCACATTCATATTCAACACTCGTTTTGTGACATGACTTTCATTCCTCCGCATCACATGCCCAAACCATGCCAATCTGCTTCCTCTCACCTTTTCTACCACTGGCGCTACTTTCAGGCTTCCTCTTATATACTCATTCCTTATCTTATCCATCCTTGTCACACCACACATCCATCGTAACATTCTCATTTCATTCGCATGCAGTCTATTTTCATCCTTCTTCTTGACGGCCCAGCATTCACTTCCATACATGACGACAGGTCGGATGATCGATTTGTAAATTTTCCCCTTCAGCCTTATTGGCATTCGGGGATCGCACGTTGTGGCTGTGACCTGTCGCCATTTCATCCACCCTGCGTTAATCCTATGCTGCACAGCTCTATCTATTCCGCCGTCGCCTTGAATGAGGGAACCGAGGTACTTGACATCTGAGCAGATAGGCAGTATAGCGCCATCCAACGACATGGGTACAGGACTGGAAAGACCGCCGAAATCACAGCACAGATATTCGGTTTTGGATCTGCTGATCTTCAGGCCAACACTTTCCAGCCTCCGTTGCCACCCCGTCAGTCTGCTCTGTACCTCGATGCCTTCTTCCCCGACAAGCACGATGTCATCGGCAAAGAGCATGCACCAGGGTGCCTCATCCTGCAGGTCCGACGTCAAAGCGTCCATAATCAGTAGGAAGAGGTAAGGGCTCAGTGCCGACCCTTGGTGCAGCCCTACCGCCACATCGATACTGCCCGTAGTTCCCGCGGCAGATCGTACACATGTACGGGATGCTCTGTACATAGCACGGACCAACCTCACATACTTCCCAGGCATACCTTTCATCTTTAACGCCCACCACAAGACCTCACGGGGAACCCGATCGTACGCCTTTTCAAGGTCGACAAAAACCATGTGCAGATCTTTATGCACGCGCTTGTACTTTTCGCACAATTGGCGTAATGCGAAAATGGCATCTGTCGTACCTCGACCGGGCATGAATCCGAACTGGTTTTGTGTTATCTCACACTCTTCTCTCATTCTTCTCTCTATTATTCTTTCCCAGACTTTCATCGTATGTGACATGAGCTTTATTCCCCGGTAACTGCTGCAGTTTTGAACGTCTCCTTTGTTTTTAAAAATGGGAACCAGTATACTACTGCACCATTCCTCAGGTATTTGTTCTTCCTGCAACAATTTACCGAAAAATAAACTCAACCACTTCCATCCATCCGCCCTCAGCAACTTCCACACTTCTACTGGTATTCCATCTGGGCCGACCGCCTTCCCATTCTTCATATTCCTAACAGCCATTTTTACTTCTTCCACACTAATTTCTCTCACTAAGCCCATATTCACTGGTGGGTTTTCAAGCATACCATTCCATTCATTCTCCTCATTCATCAATTTCTCAAAATACTCCTTCCATCGCTTCTTTATACTTTCATCGTCAGTCAAAATCCTTCCAGAATCATCTTTTATATATTTTACATGTGAAACATCTCTTCCATTCCTTTCTCTCGCTCTTGCAATTTGAAAAAGTCGTTTTTGACCTTCGGGGCATTCAAGGGACCGATATAATTTATCGTGCGCCTCTGCCCTACAAATAGCAACTTCCTTCTTCGCTCTCTTCTTACATTCTTTATACGCCCCTCTCTTACTTTCTTTTATGGATTCATTCTGGTCTTCTACGCTCTGCCATTCTTTAAAGGCATTTTTCTTTTCTCTCAAAACTTCTCTAATACTTTCACTCCACCACCACCCATCCTTATCTATCATACGCTTCCCTTTTGTTTCTCCTAACACCTTCCTTGCCACACTTCGGATACAATCAGCCATTTCCTTCCAGCACTCATTCACACTCATTCCTTCCATATCACCCATCTCTATCATCTTGTTTACAACTAGCTCTCTAAATTCACTTGCATACCCCTCCTTATGCAACAAATGCCACTTTATTTTGGGTGGGGGACGATCCTTATGTTTGTTGAGGCGAACAGTTAAGCAGATGTCAGCCCTTTGCAGTTTTTTACACTCTTGATTTGGTTCCGTCTTATCAGAAGATAGTCGATCTGTGTCGCGTGGTGGCCACTTTTATAAGTAACAAGATGCTGATCTCGTTTTTGGAACCACGTGTTTACTACAGCCAGGTCGAAAGCACATGCTGCTTGCAGAAGAACTTCCCCCTCACGGTTCCGCACTCCGTACCCCCATCCACCGTGTACTCTTTCATACCCGTCATTCACTCTCCCTACATGTCCATTAAAATCTCCTCCCATATAAACATCCTCACGCTCAGGTATTCCCATCATCATACAATCAAATTCCTCCCAAAACTTCTCTTTCACACTCTCTTCACAGCCTGTTTGCGGAGCATACACACTTACAACATTCACTACTTTGTTTTCAATCATTAATTTAACAACTATCATTCTGTCATTTACTCTTTTCACATCTGTCACTCGTTCTTTCATTCCACTATCTAACACAACTCCTACTCCATTTCGCTTCCCATCACTTCCACAATAATAAAACTTGTATCCCTCCCCAATCTCTCTTGCTTTATTGCCCTTCCATTTTGTTTCCTGCAAACAGGCAACATTCACTCTTCGTCGTTTCAAAACATCTGCTAACTCTCTTCCTCTTCCAGTCATCGTACCTATATTCCAGCTTGCAAACCTCACTCTGACATTCTTCTCTCTCCGGGCTCGCCTCTTACGTCGCACCCGCTCCGTAAGGTGCGACAACCCTTGCCCACTTCCCACAGGAGCCGGGTGCTGCCCCTGCGCGTCGCCTGCGGGGTACGCCCTAGCCCTGTCATATGTCCCACAACTCGTACTATTCATTTACTGCATGGGATTTGGCAAAAGTTTTACAGTCGGCCGCCTGCCTGACACCAACCCTCTTTGGGTATGCTATTGCTGGTAGAGGAAGCTACCATTTTGGGAAAAGGAAAAAGAAGTTTGGGGGTAGGAGCATAGGTGTAAGGATACTGTTATCTCGGCAGGAAAGGTATGAGAATAACAGTAGCTCGGGGAGCCGGGGTCGCGTACCCGTATTCCATACCAGGATTACCGGAAAGGTAGACCAGCATGAGAACCCCCTGACAAATTATTTAAATTATTTAAATATATGATTACAAAATGCTTACAAGTTAATGTTGCGAATTTATAGGTGCTTTTGATGGCTGCCTAACCCAGCAGAATCAATGAGAGTAATACCCCAAGGCTCCAAAACAGATAAACATATTGAGGTCTTCATCCTACCTATTTACATCAGTCATTCATTATAACGTATCAAATAGTCTATGAATATAATGAATAAAGGTCATGAAGCAAATACAAAGAGGAGACGGCATAAACAACTGTGCACTGTGATTCTAAGTAGGTCCTGACGTCATCGTAGTGGGTCAGGACTGCACACACACAGTCAGCATTCGTTCTGTGCGAAAATCGCAAATCGGTGTATTTTCGTAGTATTAAGAAGAAAAGGATGAAGTGTTGTATTTTATCGTGTAAAACTACTCAGATAGACGCTCTGATTCTGTGGATGGTATCACATTTCATTTGTAAGTAATTTTACACCTAATTTATTAAAATAGTTCTAGAAAAATCTTTGCGTCGGCTTTCAAATATAATTAAATATATTTGACACTAGATGGCGACTCTTTGTGCCATGTGAACTAAAAATATAAAGGTACGTAGAGCTCAGTATTGGTAAAGTAATCATACGAAGGTGCTGAAATTTGTGTTGCATTCAGACATAAAGGAATTTGAATCGCCAAAATATTATTATTATAATTTATAATCATTTTGTGAATAGACCGCCATCTATCGTAAAGGTAGGCTAAACTACATTGCGTCATCTATATGGAACGATTTGAGTAGTTTTACTATTTATCGGTAGATGTAGATAGTGTAAAGTGGGCGGGGCTTAACATCCTCTGACCCCGCAAATTTTCACGCGTTGTTACATAGTGAAATCTAATTACAACACCTCTTTGTATTTGCTTCATGATAAAGGCTTTCCCCATAGGCTGTCTCATAGGAGGGACATTTGCCATAATTGGTACACTTGGCAAACACAGCTTTTAATATTTTTAATTGTTATCAGGAAGGCTGCTGACCATCTCCTTTTTCATTTCCCTCTATCACATCTTACGACATCTACGGGACGATATGGGGAGTGATTTCAAATAATCCGCTACTACACTGCATTTAATATATTTATTTAATGAATCCATAATTAAATATCGATGTATTGAGATATAATTACAGTCAGTTGCAAGTGATCAAGTTACTGGGTGTGGAGCCAGGGAAAAAAGGAAAAATCAACTTAAAATTCCTTGTCGGTAACAGAGTAACAAAATCATTTCAGCGTATGCTAGACAGAGAGAGGTCACTTACGGCATTATTGAAGTAAGTTTTCAACAGTTAAATATATATTATTTCCTTAATATAGTAACGCTTTTATACAATTAGTATACAAAGTTTTTGAAATTTGTGATGGACAAGTGAGTTTTCTGGTATTTTGTTGTTAAAGCGTATACATTGCCCCAAGAATAAATTACTTGACTCTGGGGAGTCTAGTAATGGATAAAGAAAGGAATCAATTGCGCACAATTTTTTCCCGCACCGTGCGTGTGATTCGCTTCAGTTGGAAGGATTTTGTTTGAGCTTGTATTGAAAAATTTGATTTTCTATGAACCCCTATTTCATGTGAAGTACTTCCATATAGATTTGCGGTTTGGAGTTGATTTTATATCTTATTGTAATTTTAATGTTTCCAGAAATGAACCTAATAAACATGAGGAATTAGTATCAAAATTGCAAAAAAATCTTAAGGCAGCTAACAAAAATCTCCAGAATGTTCTATCTGAGCTGGCTCAGTTAGAAGTTGAAAGGATAAAAAACGCACAGCCGAAACCCAATTATATATTCATGTTCAAAAAAGAGGCCACACCGGACTTCAACCGCGCCATTTGCAAGGGATTAGAGGGGGAAGGGCTGTTTCTGTTTCTTGCTTCCGTGGAACCTGACAAGCCTAAGGAAGGCCAGATTATAATACAAGGTCCGGAGGAATATTGTAATGTGTTGGGGCAACAGTTAGTATATTTTTTTTAACTTTATCACTGATTTTTTAAAATTATTGAAATTCTAGTAGAGTTTACGTGTTAGAGGCATGTTTTGGCTGTATTACGGCGGCAGCATAAAAGACCAGAATTTGTAGTGACCAGAATATCTGGCTGGCTATTACGCCACGGGTCCCATGTCCAAACCCCAGTTTAGGCCAATGTTTATCCAAAATCAAAAATTGTTTTCCAGGTCTAGGTGTTTCGTGATTTTTTCTGATATTGCATACTGGTTTATCTTCTAATTGCATAAGCGTTGCATCGAGCACAGGCAGGTTAAGACAAGTATCTCACAGATAGACTTTATACCTTTCAGTAGGTCTGCTGGAAGATTATATAAATAGCTTGATTGTCATATAAATAGCTTGATTGTTACGAGCTTGGGGTTCGAGACAATTAAAAACTGCAGAGTGAATTACCAAAATTGACACTTTAATTACACAACACTAATTACAACTGAAAACCACACTAATAACAAAACACAATTGTATTACTAATCACTTAGGTTCGCAGTTGTATCGCTTCGAAGTATTCGCTTGTATCGCCAACTCAACACTGACTCCCTCCTCAGATAGTTCCAGAATCTTCTACTGTAGAAACATCTACAATGTTCGAATATATACCGGTCCCGATTGATTAGGTGTCGATAGTTCTAGAAAGTTCTTCCATGGAAATTTCTAGAAGGATCTTGACTCTCCTAGTTCTGCTACTCGATGCTAAAAGGCGCTAGTGGTAACTAGTGTCGCCATGTACCAGTCATTAATAGTGGCGTCCAACAATATCTACAGGTCTCCAGCTACGAACCCATTTTTTCTCCTGCGTAGTTGATAGCTTAATATTTTTGGGTTTAGTCCTAAGGGACCGTTCAAGTATTACGTAACGCAGTTTTTGAAGATTTTTGACCCTCCCACCCCCCTATGTAACGCGCCGTAACGTTTATCTAGACCCCCCCCCCCCTCCCCCCTAAACGTTACGTAACACCCAAGTGACCATTTTTACATTAAAGTCACAATTACTTTGCGCAAATTACCGGAAAGTCGCTAAAATAACTTTGTTATTGTTTTAATCGCGTTTGCGGTAATAATAAATAAAACGAGATTTCTTCCTCGCAATACATTGTTGATTGTTTATTTTATTTATTCATATTGTTATTTAATAAACAATCACACAATGTAATAATAAACATTTGCTTAAGTTTAAAATATGTTAAAATGTGCTCAAATCAGTCCTAATAAACTTTTACTACTAACCTTACATTTAATTACGCCGTTTTTTTAACTTGGCCTTTTCCTTACATACATTTTATTAAATAAACTCTTAAAATAAAATAACATATTTATTTTTACCTTTGGCAATGCAATGTAAAAAACAAACAAAAACTTGTGTCTGAAGTCGAGTCTTTGCTGAACTAAGTCTCGGATTGGGGCGACTAAATCTAGTCCAGTTCATTCCCCAGAAGACACAGGTTTGCGCGTTTACCGCTAAAAAGAAACCCTTTGTCGTATCTCCTCAGTTTCAAGGCACTCCCCTTGCTACCTCAGCTAGCATCGGAATCCTCGGCGGCGACATATCGAATAAAGTGCAGTTTCGTGGTCACTTGGAAGGGAGGGCCAAATTGGCTTCTAAAAAGCTAGGTGTGCTCAACAAAGCGAGACTGTATTTTATGCCGGCACATCGCTTGCAATTTTACAAAGCGCAAGTCCGGCCTCACATGGAATACTGTTCTCATCTCTGGGTCGGGGCACCCCAGTGCCAGCTCCTTCCACTTGACCGCATCCAGCGCAGAGCGATTCGAATCGTCGACGACCGAGTTCTTTCTGATACACTGGCACTGCTTAGGGATGTTGCATCCCTTTACATTTTCTATCGAATTTACCACGGGGAGTGCTCTGAGGAATTGTTGGATTAATTCCAGCCGCCAAATTTCACGAGCGCACATCGCGTAAAAATACACGGTACACAACTCTGACTACAGCAATGTGCTTCTTCGTAAGATGAATACTGATAACGAAAACAAAATAAAAATGACGTACAATACAGTCGAGGGATTCCCCGTAAAACAGACAAAAAAGATTACCAACTTGGGAGGACAAAATAAAAATGACGTACCATACAATCGAGGGATTCTCCATAAAACATAAACGAAAAGGGTTGCTAACTTGGGAGATTTTAATTCCCTAGTTTTTTTATTTAAAATAAAAAAAAATGTTACGTAACGCGTTGGTCGAATCCCCCTCCCGCCCCTGTAACGCATCGTAACGTTTTACAAGACCCCCCCTCCCCCCAAATTGCGTTACGTAATACTTGAACGCCCCCTAAGATGTTTTTAAAATATAGATACGTCATACTCGCTCTAAAATGGCAATATGAAAGTCAGGTAATTGCCCGACTCGCATTGATATTGACATTGATAAATTCGCTACACTGCGTAAATCTTCTAGTTATTCGTGGTAAAAATGCCTTCCTGTGTTTTTCGGTGGTGCACAAATTACACGACAACTGTTAGAGACAAGAAAAACGTCTCATTAATATTTTGAATATAGATGTTTTAATCATAATTGGTTTTATTTTTTCAACACTAACCGCTAGTGTAAACTTTGACGCTAGCTAGTGTGTTCATTTCCATATCGGTATGTCACGCGCTCGCGCCAATGAGCGCTCAGCAGCAATCAATACGCAACTAATGATGTATATTAATTTTTTTCTAACGATAGGTATGCCGTATCATTTGTCTCTTTTTGTTAGCGCAACATGTCACAATAAATAACTAAACGTTGATATAGTACTACCTGCGCCACTTTAAAATACAATAATGTTAGTGTGTAACCTGTCTATCTTTTTAATACGTCTGGATTAGTCGCCGTGGTCGAAAGTCGGTCCGGAGGAGATCATCATATGAATTCTTCCTGGTATTTTCCTTTATCGACGCTTACAACATACATGGGCTGATTACCTGATTTAATATTGAGAAATATGCTAACAACCATAATTATTTATTTCAGAATAACAGAACTATTAAAGGCAAAAGGAGCTTTTAAACACGGCAAGTTCCAAGGAAAAGCTGGCGATTTGACAGCAATTAGTAAATGCAAGAAAATAGTTGAGGAATACTTTGCTAATATACTGTAGTAACAAATAAACTTTTTTATTATTTCAAATAATTTAAATGCTCCTTATAAATTTTTATGAACTACTTAACAATTCGTATCGCCCTTTCGCACCTGCATCACACGATCGTTACAATTATGGTTGTCGGTAAATAGACATACAACCTGGCCAAAACAAGACACATGACGGGAATGCGGTTTCGACGTCCGTCCCTAGTTCTAATGACGTCTTAGCTGTCATGTACCTAATTGTATACTTCACGTAGTACCTCTCCTAACCTTTCTCATATCAGTGTTTTCTAGGGGTTTTAGGGCAAGGAAAATAAGATGAAAGAAAGTAGGAATAGTAAGGATAAATACATAATAATAAATTGATGTTTTTATATCTTTCAGGGAATTAGTAAATGTTTACTATGAACATGAATATTGTTGTTATAGGTGCAGCACAAACGGGTCGGTTCGACCGGGGAAAGAACGCGCTTTCACAGAATAGCAGCATAACTGCTGTGTTTCATATAGCCAGTGTAGGGAACCAAAGGCCCTTTTACTGGCAACAAGGCATTCCATCTTAGTGCTCAGCGGCAAAATCGCATTTGCTTTTTGATTCTTCAGCAATGACAGATCTAGGTGTCTACAGGCCACATCATCCACTTACCATCAGTAGACCGAGTGTTCGTTTGTCACCTTTCTATAAAAAAAATTAATAAATCCAAGTTAGGTGAGTAAAATACTGGCAAGCGCAGATATAGTATATTTCATTACGAGTGCGGAAAACCTGTCATTGCAAAGAAAACAACTATTGCATGTCTTAAGCGAAAGCGCAAGGTATGTTCTACTATCGCCTAAAAATTAAGCAATTTAATAAAGAACATTGTTGGAAAATGGCGCCAACCGTAAAAGAATATAAGCAGATTTTTTTTTGTTCTCTTCACCCATTCTGGGTAGGCAAAGCGAACTATGCCCATACGGCCAAGTCTTCAGTAGAATTTTTTTTATTGATATGAAATGAAAATTAAATTTAATGAGATGAAATGAAATCTAACTCATTGATTCAAATCATTAAATCTGATATTGAAATTTGTTTCAATAGTAGCTTCTTTTTAGAAACATTTGCATGAATCATAAAAACTTCTATGATTTTTTTTAGTAAAAACTTCGTGGTTGGTTTTTTCTTTTTAATAGACATTATTTTGACAGTTGGGAAAGAGAACGCACGAGTTCGGAAAAGGTAAAGAAAAAGCACGAGTATGTAATAGCCCACATCCCGAACGCTATACGTCCATGCAATACGCCACTCTTTGAGCAACTGTATTAAAAAAAAAGTAACACTACAGCTTATATGTGACGCCCTGCTAGGCACAGGTCTCCTCAGATTTTACAGAGAGCTGCTCTAGTAAAATAAATCCTACCAAAAACATGAATGTGAAAAGAGGGCCGCGTTCGGTGTTGACGGCTTCATGGATAAGAGATAAGGTGTGAACCAAGTTTCATAGCAGTAGCTAAAATTATTATTTCTTGCGAAGTAATTGAGATTGGCCGATAATTGGCAAAGTTAGAACGACGGCCTTTTTGGGCATGGGCTGCAAAAAGGAAGCAACCTGTATTACTTAAATATTATAAATTTTGACGTGGTAATGCCATGCTGCAGCTATATTATGGTTAATGATTAGCTTAATGCTGCTGTGTTTCGTATGGTGAGTATAGAGAACCGAAGACCCTTTTCACTGGATACAAGGCATTCCATCTTAGTCCTCAGGGGTGACAATCTGCATTTTGATTCGTAATTGAGGATAGTTTTTTTTTATAGGATAAGGGTGACAAACGAGCACACAGTCCACCTGATGGTAAGTGGTTGCTGCGGCCCATAGACATCTACATCTATCCTCTCTTACAAATCAAAATGCAGATGCGTTGTCACCCGTGAGGACTAAGATGGAATGCCTCATTTCCAGTAAAAAGGGCCTCCGGCCACCTGCACTCACCAAGCGAAACGCAGAGGTAAACCTCTACTTCACGCTGGTATTCTGTGAGGTCGTGGTACCACCCCAGTTCGAGTCGGCACATCCGTGCGACAGCAAAAGCTGCCGCGTGGCTCTACCACTGTCAATTAAAAGTAAATTTATAATAAAAATGATAATAATAAAGTAAATTTATATGGGCCACAGCAACCACTTACCATCAGGTGACGCATCTACATTTTGATTCTTAATCCAGAATAAATGAAGGCCACAGTATACATAAGAGTATATTTTAACGGTGGTAGAGCCACGCGGCAGTATTTGCTGTCGCACGTATGCGCCGACTTGAGCCCGGTTGGTACCACGACCTTACAGAATAAAAATAAAATAAAATTCCGCTCAAAACAATAACTGCTCGGGGCAAACTGAGCAACAATACCAAGGCGACCCCTGCCACGCTATCCGTGAATTTCTGCAACATCAGGGGACTTCACTCGAACCTAAACGCCGTCCACTACCATCTCTCCTACCCGGGGTACAAATTGGAGCACTCCTTTGTGACTCGGGCTGGAGTTTGCTCATCCTTTGGCTACGCGTAGACAGCGACGACCATCCGCGCGTCTAAGGGTGCCTCTATAGGTCCCATAGCAGTAATGCCGAAACAGACCGACTCATTGACCACGTCCAAATGGCTACAGATTCCTTGCTACAATAGGTACCATCCGCAGAGATCGTGATCCTTGGCGATTTTAACTCCTACCACGCCCAATGGCTCGGTTCACGTTTAACCGATCATGCGGGGAGATCTGTTTATGACTTTGCCTTGGCATATGGTCTGACACAACTGGTTATATCGCCTACGCGGATTTCAGATGTGGAGGATCATACACCTTCCCTGTTGGACCTTCTGCTGACCTCTCATCCGGACGGACATCAGGTTTCCGTCGATGCCCCTCTCGGCTTTTCTGACCATTGTCTGAACCGGAGTGTGGTGCCACTTACGCTCCCCTCGCGATTGCGTTCTGCAGGTTGCCGCCGTCTTTGGCATTACATGTCGGCGAATTGGGACGGAATGCGGTATTTCTTTGCATCCTACCCATGGAGTTTGCTTCTCGCCGGATGATCCCAGCGCTGTTGCTGACTCTGTCAATGATGTGGTGCTACAAGGAATAGAACTATTTATTCCATCATCTGTGGTACCCATCGGAGACAGATCTCAGCCTTGGTTAGGTCGCTCCTGTAAGACTGCAATACGCAGTAAGCAAGAGTGTTATCAAGCCTGGGCTACGGCTTCGGCGACTCGGGATGTAAACACCAGCATGCTTAAAAAGAAGTATAACTTCGCCTCCAGGTCCTTCAAAAGAGTTATTGCCAAGGCAAAGTCAGAGCACATAGGCAGAATTGGCGAGAAACTAGTTCGCCTTCCTTCGGGAACCCGTGCATTCTAGTCTCTCACCAGGGTTGTCCAAGGGAATTACTGTAAGCCATCACTACCATCTCTGCACAGGGAGGACGGCTCACTGGCCCACGTCGCAAAAGAAAAAGCCGACTTTTTAGGCTCCCTTTTTGCGTCCAACTCCACTCTTGATCACGGGGGGAACACACCGCCGACTACCTCGCGGTGTGAGTGCCCCATGCCGGATGTGCTGTTCTCACAGCGCTCGGTTCGCAAAGCACTCCTCTCCCTGGACATCCAGAAGTCGAGTGGGCCTGACGGAATCCCCCCAATTGCACTGAGGACGTGTGCTCCGGAGTTGGCACCGGTTCTAACGCGTCTTTTCCGGTACTCCTACACCCTAGGCGTGTAGTCCCGAAATCATGGAAGACAGCTTTTGTCCATCCGATCCCTAAAAAAGGCGACCGCTCAGACCCGTCCAACTACAGGTCTATCGCCATCACCTCCTTATTCTCCAAAATAATGGAATCCATTATTAACTGCCAGCTCATGCGGTACTTTGAGGATCACTAGCTGATTAGTGACCACCAATACGGTTTTCGTCGGGGTCGATCAGCTGGTGATCTTCTGGTCTACCTGACTCATAGATGGGCGGAGGCAGTAGAGTTCAAAGGGGAGGCTTTGGCCGTTAGTTTGGATATTTCCAAGACCTTCGATCGGGTTTGACACAAAGCGCTTCTTTCGAAGCTCCCTTCCTTTGGGCTTTCCGAGAAAATGTGCAATTGGATCACCAGCTTCCTTGCAGATCGGAGCATCAAGGTTGTTGTAGACGGTGTATGCTCCGACTACAAGCTTATTAACGCTGGTGTTCCACAAGGCTGTGTGCTATCACCAACGCTGTTTCTTCTGCATATCAATGATATGTAGCAAACTGGTAACATTCATTGCTATGCGGATGACAGCACTGTTGATGCTCTATACACGGGCCGTGCCAATATTTCTCGGGAAAACGTCGCCGAGTACCGGAACAAACTTGTGTCTGAAGTCGTCTTTGCTGAACAAAGTCTTGGATTAGGGGCGACTAAATTTAGTCCAGTTTAATCCTCAGAAGACAAGTTTGCGCGTTTACCGCTAAAAAGAACCCCTTTGTCGTGTCTCCTCAGTTACCAGGCACTCCCATTGTAGCCTCAGCCAGTATCGGAATCCTCGGCGTCGACATATCGAGTGACGTGCAGTTTCGTGGTCACTTGGAAGAGAAGGCCAAATTGGCCTCTAAAAAGCTTGGCGTGCTTAGCAGAGCGGGACAGTATTGCATGCCGGCATACCGCCTGCAACTTTACAAGGCGCTGGTGAGCGGCCACACATGGAATACTGTTCCCATCTCTGGACAGGAGCTCCCCAGTGCCAGCTCCTTCCACTTGACCGCATCCAGCGCAGAGCGGCTCGAATCGTCGACGACAGAGTCCTTTCCGATCGGCTCGATTCATCGGCACTGCGAAGAAGAAAAGAACTGTTCGGATTAATCCCAGCCGCCAAATTTCACGAACGCACATCGCAGCAGAACTCCCGATACCATCCACACCATCTGGATGTTTGGCGGTTCACCACTGTGCGATTTAGAAGATGTTTTCTTCCTCGCACAACTTCCTTGTGGAATTGATTACCATCAGCGATTTTTCCGGACCGATACGACTTAGGGACCTTCAAGAAAAGAGCCTACTCCTTTTTAAAAAACCGGCAACGTATCTACAATCCCCCTGATGTTGCAGTTGTTCATGGGCGGCGGTAGTCACTTACCATCAGGTGAGTCGCATGCTCGTTTGCCCCCATTCCTATAAAAAAAATACACTTGCCATCAGGTACCAGGTGCACTGTGTGCACGTTTGTCACCTATATTCTATTAAAAAAAACTTTAATGACCACTGCCTACACACAATAACAGGCATTGCATAGTAAATATTAGTAGTGTTCACACAATCATGATAACTTAATGATTAATGATAACACTTAAAATAAGGTGACTTCATATTCAAATGTCAAATGCAAAAACTAAAAATATAATTTATAACTAGCTGTTCCCCGCGAGTCCGCCCGCGTGTTATTTGGAGTTTTAATTTTTTTGCGCGGAACCCTAATTCTTTTTCTAAAATAAAAGTAGCCTAAGTTACTCCTTGTGACATCAGCTATCTGCCAGTGAAAATCCCGTCAAAATCGGTTCTGCCGTTTCGGAGATCAGCCGGAGCAAACAGACAGACAGACGAAAACTTTAAAAATTGTATTTTTGTTATTAGTACCGTATATAATTTCATATGTATTTAGTAAAAAGCTGTAATTTTGACATTACAAACAGACACTTCAATTTTATTTACTTGTATAGATTGGTAGTATAAAATACAAAATTGGATATTAGAATGAAAATGTTTACTGGAATGTCTAACTTCGTTTTTAACATTTATTTACTACAAAAGTACTACTTAGTACATAATATTTGGTGACTAAAACACTTTTAACACTTAAATAATTAAAATGCCCAATCACAAAACCTTTGGAGAGTTTTTGGTACATTTATAGTTGCAGAACTGTGTGTGTGTGTGTGTGACACAAAACAATTGATTAGACAGAAAGGGAATGGCAACTGTATTTAATTATATTTTTTAGAATAATTATGTTTGTCTGTGTGTACAATATTAATTATTTCATAAAATTTACATTTGCATCTATATATACATAAATATATAATTTGATTTAAATACATTTAATATAATATATTGATTAACGACATCAATAATCCTTTTCTTTGCAATCGACAGTGTTTGATGCATTGATGCTCGCTATTACTTTTTCAATGCCTAGATTTGTCCAATCCTGTGACAGATCATCAAGATAGTTGTCAAAATCAACTAGATCCCTTTGCACTCCACTTTGTAATAAGTGTGAAACAGTCTCTAACACATATGGTGTTTCTGAAAATGAAAATAATAATTAACATTCTTGCCAGTGTTGGTCGCATAAGTGAAACCAGTTGTTTCAGTTATTGCAGCTATATTATACTAGTAACACAAATGGGCCGGTCGAGAACTTATGTGCATTTTAATTCTTAATCGAGGATAGATGTAGATGTCCATAGACCATGCACCCACTTACCATCAGGTGGCCTGTGTGCTCATTTGTCACTTCTATTCTATAAAAAAGAATGTTGGCAAAATAAAGGCAAGTTTCTTTTGTTGGTTTGAAAGCAAAATGTTTACCTGACTGCTCTGTCTTTAAACCTTTGTACTATGTTTGGGGAAAAATTCCTGACATTTAACGGCGGCTCTTGGCCATCGTGTAGAGCGGGTGTTTAAGCTACGTTGGTATGTATTGGAAAGATGACCCACAAGTTGGAGTCGCCACGGAGTCGTCAAGAAAAAAAATTCTTTTTTTCCATTTCTTTTCGATAACCCTTTTCTTATACACATTCACGTTACAGTGGTATGCTGTTAATAAATAAACCGCAACAGCCGTTAGCGCATCAATAATCATTTTAATAAATTCGTCCGCACATTGGCCTCAACCAAAACAAACTGAACGACGACACGTGTGGATGTGATCACAAATTCTTGACCAATATCCCTTCCAACACATTCGCCACTATGTTGGCCAACGTGAAGAGCCGCCATAAGATACAGGCTCTGCCTAGTTTGGATGTCAATAGTTTCATAATTTGTAGACGTACATATGGGTTGACGGGTGGGAATACCTTAAGGCATTAAGTCCGCGCTTTGTACTCTTCTGTTTTAAGGAATGCAATAAATAATAGTTACTTGTAACTTAGTTTTGTTTTTATTATGTACATATTATTATCATGTGTACTTAATTTTAATTACTGATGATAATTTATCATTATGTTTATGTCATACGTAATATACCCAGACTAGCAAGGAGCAGTAGCGTCAAAGTGCAAGACATCTAACACAGGTTTTCCGCAACTCCACGTCTAAGGGCGTATTATCCGTGTAACACTATGGTTATCAATCCACCTGCCCACGAGACAATAAGACATACAATAGTAGAGGCTCATGTTAAGTAGACTTACAGGCCAATAAAGAAGAGTTAATAACAACCAAAATATGCACTAAATACTTACAGTTATCAAAATCTGATAACTAGATTTGTTTGTATGATTTTTCAACACAACTGCCCAGCATGGTGAGTATAAGCAAAGCATATGAGGTTGAATGGTTTTAGTTACTGTAGCTTAAAAAAATTAGTAGAGTAGAATAGAATTTATAGAGGCTGGCAAAGGAGAAGCAAAATTCATCAGTAGATAATCCAGTGGACAAGTATTACCATGTTTACAACTGTAAAGCTACTAGGGTGTAATAGATATTATTAACTCACGGAATAACAATTTATTTGTATCTATAAGTTTCCATTTTCCATCACAATATTTGTGTATTTTAATAGCAGGAGTTTCCAGATGTTGCATCACTTTTTTGTTGTCAACCTGTAATGTGATTTAATCATGCTCATAATTTATTTGCTGAAAACATGGTACATTGCAGGTTTGTAAATGATTAAACAATAATATTCTGCTTAACTAAAAAGTTGAAGTGGAAAGATTCCAGTTTATTACAGTAGTTAAGCCGCCCTGTAGTGAGGGTAAGAGGATTCATTACCCCATATCATCTTGCGGGTGTTAAGAGGCAGTAGTGAAAAATAAAACAGGAAATAGACAGTAGCATCCTTCTGATAACAACTCAAAATAATAAACAACTACGGTGGCCAACCAGGCAAATATTACCCTCATGAAATTATCTATTAAAATCTATTGACTGTGTAGTTGCAGTGTAAGTATATCCACTACCCCATATCCCATGGGTGTTGTAAGATGCAACAGTGGGGCACAAACAGGAATGCAACATGAGAGGGGCAGCAGTCTTCCTAATTATAACTCAAAATAAAAAAGCTGAGGGTACCAAGCATGGCAACTATGGCAAATATGCACCCTGATGTAATTTATGGGGGAGGTCTAAGTTCAGAGGTAAACTTTAATAGGCTGTAATGGTAACAGAAGCAATATAGTATGGGGCAGTCCTATGTTCAATTTACTTCAAGGAACAAATCAACGACATGTAAAAGCTGATAAAATAATAAGATCAAAGAAAGGCATACTTAGAACATGTGGTATACTAGCATTCTAATATAACACTACAAAACGTAGACTATGTGAACAGCACATTTGTGACATGTTCATTGCAGTACTTGTTGTGAAATATTAATCAGAATTAAAGACATTGCTTGCATTTAATGTACACTTTGTATGCATGCAGAAATTCTGCTAAACTTTTAAGTAGTAAAAGTAACTGTGTTATGAGTGCCCTGTGTAAAGCAGTACTTTCAGTTTTAAGGTGCTCTTGGTTGTGACATAACCAATGACAATCATAATTTTTTTTAATAATATTCTATCTATGATTTTCCTTACTCTTTACAATGTATTGGTAAATTTCTATTAATATAATATTTCAATAATGAAAACTCACCACAATAAATACAGCAGATGGGAAATTTTCAACAATTTTCTCAGCTATTTTCTGCCCAGGACACTTTTCTACAGTATTGTCCCTGAAGTTTTCACAGGCAGCATAATAGCCTGCTATAACTCTGTTGTCAGCTTGAGCTACTGTATCAATCTGTTTAATAAATTTGAAAGTTTGTACATAATTGTGGATAGATAGTGTAAATTTAGTAATTATAGAAATTAATAGCAAAATTTAACAACAGTTTGCTGACAAAAAATATAAATAATGTATATTGTAAAAGGAGACTTGTCAAATATTAAAAATTTAAGGCTTCCAACAGATGATGGTGGACTTTCCACTCTGTTTTCGGCAAATGTAAAATACAAAGACCTATCTTGCAGAGTAAATAAGCTTATTTACTAGCTAGTCCAGCTAATCCACCCCTAAGCGGATCGTTTGTCTTTAATACAACAGGACAGGTCCATTTAAACGGAAAATGTTTGCGGCCCGATGATTGAATTAAAAGAAAACATTCTTACCTGAGTCAACGCTACTTCCGCCATAGGCGATAAATAGTGACTATGATGAAATAAGGGCACTGTATCTACAATATCTAAATCTTGGGTTTTAGCACTATCTCTGACTTTTGTACCGTCTACTAAAAGAACTCCATTTACAGCACATTGCGGATATTTAGCAGCGTGAAGAATTATTTTTGCATAAGCTGACGTTTCGAAGGATACTTCACCCATATTTTATTTGTATTATCTAAACGCCGAGCTTATCTGATCTTTTAATTTAGCTAAAAATTAAAGTTTTTCAATCCTAGTGCTGAAAAATGAAAATAGTTTTGTTGTTGTAAATATTCTCCAATTAAGGCAGGCAAAAGTCTTAGACCATACAATCTAGACTGATTTATATTTTGTTTTTGACGACAGCATAAACTAGAAGATAGTTTTTTATTATAATAAACATGATTAGAATTTAGATTGCGCGTTGACTTATAATAATAACTTTAAAAACGAGCTAAAATCGCTCTGGAAGTAAGCGAGAAATCATCTTACACTCGCCCAATGAGGATCAAAGAGTATTTATTTTATTTTATTCACTACTACTACCACAGAGTAAATATTAGTACAAGAACAGAAGGATCACTCTCTGATAGCAAACTTGCGAAGCCTAGTTACAACAAAATTAATGTTCATAATACTTTGCACACCTCGGACAAAACCTTTGTCAAATCACAGAATAAATAATTGTACAAGAACAGGAGTATCACTCTCTGATAGCAAACTTGCGAGTTTAATCCTAGTTACAACGTCGCTAGTGATAAAAAAAAAACTTTGCATGCCTCGGGCACGACGTTCATTAAATTAGCCTACAGATTTATTCGTCGAAAAAAAATTAATGCGACGCGCGTATTAAATCAAAATGCATCTTACGTCCGCGTGCGAAAGTCTGTATCACTTAGCGCATGCGTTGTGAGAAAGCAAATTGAATTCTTTGATGTTGGTTGGTAGTAGTATACACCGATGGAACATTATTGTTCAATGTGAGGAAGGTTTTTATAACAACGTAAACTTCCTTGAAACTCAGATAAGTTACCTACTTACCATTTTTAACCGCCTTCAGAAAAAGTAGGAGGTACTCAATTTGACTGAATTTTTTATGTGTGTTACCTCAGAACTTTTTCATAGGTGAACCGATTTTGATGATTCTTTTTTATTTGACAGCTGGTGCTTATAATTTATATAGGTATTCCATATAAATTTGATCGTAAAAATGCGTATTACTTGTCTCTCTTCCTCTCTTTTTAAAGAACGCTAGCTCCTTAGGGGGCGTTCAAGTATTACGTAACGCAATTTTTGAAGATTTTTGACCCTCCCGCCCCCCTATGTAACGCGCCGTAACGTTTATCTGGACCCCCCTCCCCCTCCCTAAACGTTACGTAACACCCAAGTGACCATTTTTACCAAAGTACCGGAAAGTCGCTAAAATAACATTTTTATTGTTTTAATCGCGTTTGCGGTAATAATAAATAAAACAAGAGATAAGAAATCTCTTAAAACTCGCAATAGATGCGTATATTGTTTATTTTATTTATTCATATTGTTATTTAATAAATAATCACACATAATGTAATAAACATTTGCTTAAGTTTTAAATATGTTAAAATGGGCTAAAATTCGTCCTAATAAACTTTTACTGCTAACTTTACATTTAATTACGCCGTTTTTCTGACTTGGCCCTTTCCTCATATATATTTCTGGCTTAATCCACCAAGGTCTTCTCATGCATTCTCCTGTTTTAGCTTTTTTTTACTAATAAACTATTAAACTAAAATAACATATTTATTTTAACTTTTGGCAATGCAATGAAAACCTAACTGAAATAAAACATTTTAGTCAAAATAAAATTGTATTCTTAGCTAAAAATTTAAAATAAAAACAGCCATAATTAAAATAAGTAGGTATGTAAAGAAAGATCAATTTAATTGGAGTTACTATTCCTCTGTCCACGGGTTTGCCAGCCACTCAGACTCTTTCATTACTGGCATCCGGTGAGCAGACGGAGCGGATTCCGGAATTGTTAAACCACTTGCATCAACTTCGTTTTCTTCAAGTCAATCGGCATACTCAGACGATGTTTTACAGCATCGCACAATGCAGAGAAGCTCATTTGCCCTTCTGGCAGCAGTCGCTGTGGCTGTACTCTACTTTTACGACGGTCTTGGGCAGTCTTGCCATGCACGTAACGACTGTGCATTTGCACACTCTTGTGAGATGTGAAATAGATCCCACATGTTGCACATATTCTGTTCTTGAGGTCAGATTGTACTGATGGGCAAAATAAATCGTAAGGTATCTGCTTAAACCCTTCCAGAGGATGCGATCGATCATCGAACAACCTCACAAGAAGTGGTGACAACTTGCATGATGCTTTGTCCAGCTGACCAGGTACCACGAGCTTGCTTGGGGTTTCAAGGATTGGGCAGGGTGGCAGTAGGAAAGTATTTGGAAAGACAGATTTCAATGCACTCCTGCAGCGGGAACAGCAAGATTCATCCGCGCATTTAATCACTTGTAAGAAATATTGCGATTCACGAACGTGAGCCCTATACCATGCCAGATTAGGTTCTGCTGGATTCTGCAAGCTATCTTCCGGCTTTCAATATTCCACCGAAACATCATAGCTGTCAATTTTCATTTCCCTCCAGATCTTAGCAAGTGTCTCTCCAGCGTACTGAAAATTGAGTTTTTCCAAATCATCATCATTACAGCCTTTCATAAGTCCACTGCTGAACATAGGCCTCCCCAGAGGAATGCCACAAAACACGGTCCTGAGCTACCTGCATCCATCGACTACCTACATATCCTACCAGGTCGTCACTCCATCTAGTGGGGGGTCGCCCTACACTTCACCTCAAAGAACTGACGAAGCGACAAGCTTCTGTGCAAATCTAAAAAAAATCTGTGTTCAGCAGTCGCATTTTTTTATAGAGGGGGCAAACGAACATGTGGCTCACCTGATGGTAAGCGACTACCACCGCCCATGAACAACTGCAACACCAGGGGAACCAGGGGCATTGCAGTTGCAGGCCTTTTAAAAAGGAGTAGACTCTTTTCTTGAAGGTCTCTAATTCGTATCGGTCTGGAAAAATCGCTGATGGTAATCGACTCGGTGGACCGCCAATCATCCAGATGGTGTGGGTGATATCGGAAGTTCTGCCGCAATGTGCGTTCGTGAAATTGCCACTAAATTTTAAGAGAGGACAGAGCAAGGAACGAAAAAAGCAAAAGGTGCTTGGCTTAGAATTTTAGCCATTGTACACACACCAGACATGTTGCGGCATTATCATACTACGGCAAGAACCCTCTTCAGACCGTTTTTCCAATAGGTAATTTTCCAAAAAATTGTGCCAGAGAAATATTAGTACGTATTAGAAATCGCACCAGGATTCAACCGAGGCAGCTTTTCTTTTGATTAAGTAATACAATTACAATTCTTTTGAGTAAGTAAATACATCTATGTGTTTCGAACTCAATGCCAACACGCAGCGTACGCCTTCAACAGTATGATCCTGCTGCGGCACCCGCGGCGGCCACGCCTCGCTCGGTCAGTCAATTGATCAGCATTTCCATAGATATTATATATACTACTACTTCCATAGATATTATATATATACAACATAGGGCAGGCATGTCGATCAAACACACTTAGCGAACGATTATGTCACTCGTTTCCGCGCCACAACCAAAAGCAAATTGTAGGAAAATTTATCGACCAAGTGAAAAATGAAAAAGTTTTAGCCCCAAATTAGCCCTTAAAATCTGCCGCCCTAGGCTCCAGCCTACTCAGCCTGCTGGTAAATCCGCCACTGGTAAAAGTACTTTGTATTCCAGGTGCATTAAAAGAGAACACAGTCGCAATAACAGTCGAGGGATTCCCCGTAAAACATATACAAAAAGGGTTGCCAACTTGGGAGGACAGAATAAAAATGACGTACCATACAATCGAGGGATTCCCCGTAAAATGTAAACGAAAGGGGTTGCCAACTTGGTAGATTTTAATTTCCTAGTTTTAATTGAAATAAAAAAAACGTTACGTAACGCGTTATTGGAACCCCCCCCCCTCCCGCCCCTGTAATGAATGATAACGTTTTATAAGACCGCCCCTCCCCCCCAAATTGCGTTACATAATACTTGAACGCCCCCTTACTAGGATTTTCTCCTGTATCGCGGTGGCAGTTTACATACATAGATTTCACAAGAACTAGAACAATTATTTGTAGGCCATATAAATATTTGTTCCCTGCAGGATTCGAACCCGCGGCTCTTAGCGCTGCAACTTTTTGCAAAGCCACTGCGCCACGGAGCCGTCACTTGTCTATTTCAATCTTGTGTGACACACGACGGCATTATTAATAAAAGAGTGGCAATGAGAAGTGCTGCTAATATCAAGCTCTTTCCTTTATCGACCAAGTGTTCCACAATTAACCAGTATAATCTGATCTTACATTAGTAGGCAGTCACTGTTACTGGGAGTTCTACTTACACTGAACGTATTTTAAGGTCATTGGCATTATACGCGAAAAAATTTAAAACTGCGAAACCTTGGTCGGGTCACTAATCAAATAATAAATCTATAACTATGGCGTCGGTAACTAGGTACTTAGTTATCTAGATCTACCAATAAATAATAATATTTTACCTTTCGGTATCCATAGAAACACTAAAAAATGAAAAATCAACACTTCTATTGTTATTTAAGCACCCACATGCTATGCAGTTCCTTTTGGCTTTTTGAAAGGTCATACTTCAATAAAAACTCAAAAATAAATATCAAAAGTGCCTAAATACTTATAACAGAAAAAAACACTTTTTTGTTAACGTATGGCGCGCGACAGCTCGAGCGCGCGCGTGACAACCTCACGGTATTAATCTATCATATGCGGCCGCGCAGCGCAATTTTAAATGAGGGCTAATCGTAATGTTCAGATGGTATCTCTGTATTTTAAACTTTTAAACGAAATAATGAAAGCATTTTGTGTAGTTTGAATATATTTCATTTTAGTTATATAATACGAATCATTTTTGGTGATAATGAGAATGTGCGTAATTTGTAAAACCCGTTACCAAAAGGAAGTTGGGATAATATTCTACAAGTAAGTGAATTTACAGTTAATTTGAAAAAAAAATACTATTTGATAATACAGGTACTTAAAAAATTGTTACTTATCCTAATAATGTAT